TGGTAGAATTTCAGGTGCTGTAAGCCTACCCAGTAACATTATCATTGGGTCATCAAGGTAATGTCCTTCGAAAATAATTTTATTAATATGCATCATACACTCAAGATTTCAATGGCAAGGGTATAAAAAATAACAAATGAAGCATTTTAAGCCAAACATTATCCATATGGATCCTCAAGAACAACAGTTATAGGCATAAATGTATCATTTCCACGCAGACAATCAAAATTCTTCCACAACAAAGATTTTTACATAAACCTAGGTTTGAGATACAAGGTCAGAATTTTGCATAAGCAGGTCATTGCACCTTTGAAAGATCCACATGATTAAAAAGTATTAAAATAAAAGCTACTACATAAGACAGCACACAAGCTTTGTGCTGCAGCTGCTCCCACATCATGTAGGTAAAACATGTTCCACTTTGTGAGAATGTCACAATAATGCCTGGGCTGCTGACAGATTGTATGCCAGGTGGATCTCAGGTGAATATTATCCTTTGCATCAGATGATGGGAAATGTGTGTCAGAGGCTGCGTACTAGAGACTCATTTACATATAAACGCCGTGTGGACAAAGCAAGAACAGCAACTACTGTTGGCAATGAAACCACAATATTAACATTTATAATATTTGGGCAACATTTGGAACAAAATTATTGACTTGTTTCCACAACTTCATTATGCTGTTAGGATGTTTACAACTGCGTATGTGGACCTTTAATATTGTGCCCAATAACTAAGTGGACCTTTAGTATTGTGCCTAATAACTAAGTGAGCCTTGAGGTGTAAAAGGTTGAGAAACCCTAGTCTACTAGACAATAACAAATGAGGCATTTGAAATCAACAATTACCAAAATCGCTCCAAAACAATAATAGATATTGAGTATAAATAGATAACGATGATTCGTTAGCTTAGAGCAGTCACAATTGTCCCAGATCCATCATTGTGCATTTCATGGCTCACTAGTTAAGAATCTCTTTAGTAGACCCTTACAATTGGTATTTTTGATGTATGATGCATATAAATAAAATTTCGAAGGACATGACCTTGAATAACATCAATGATATTGTCATATGGCAGGCCCACACCACCTCATTCCATAACAGTAGCAATTATTTTCCTACACCTCTATTTATGGCAGGCCCACACCACCTCATTCCATAACAGTAGCAATTATTTTCCTACACCTCTATTTCTGCAGGCCCACACCACCTCATTCCATAACAGTAGCAATTATTTTCCTACACCTCTATTTCTGAATCGCCCGGTATAGTTATTTTTCTATTTCTATGTTAGTCAAAAACATTTAATTTATCATTTCATAATATTTGGAGAAAACCATCGTTAGTGGTTTCGAATCTTATGTTGTTTTTTAACTTCATATTAGATGCTATGTTGTTTGAATCAATTGTAAAATTCCTCCCAAATTGCATCACTTTACAGAGAGGATCTGATAGAAATACTTTCTTGTCTTGAGATTCCACGACAAGTTACATGCTGAGGATTCTGGCATGGCTAGGTGGTTAGGACACAATCTGCGGGTCGCAGGTTCGAGTCCCCGTCCCACCAAACATGCTCGCCCTTTCAGCTGTGGGGGCGTTATAACGTGATGGTAAAAGAGTAGCACAAGAGTTGGCGGTAGGTGGTGATGACTAGCTGCCTTCCCTTGTGTAATTTTGCGTGGAATTCCAAACAAACCAAGTCACTTTGTGAGGTGATTGATTACAACACGATATGTATGTACGATTTTAAGAAACTTTGTTACCATGTCTATCACTGCTTTACAAACCAAAGTTCTACAGCTTTATCAATTTTTCTGTATATAGTGAAATCACTATTTTCTCAAACAAATATAGAAGTGTTCAATGCATAATGTCTACATCTTTTATTTTCAACCACATTCTTGATTTTTCATACAAATTAATACAAATTATAATGTTTTTATAACTGTAATTTTTCTCTTGAAATTCTTCAGTGTTAAAAGTAGAAACGCGGCATTCCATAGCATACGCTACTCATCAGAAACACAGCTTTCTACAACATGCGCTACTCATGAGAAACACAGCTTTCCACAGCATGCGCTACTCATTAAGATCATATCTTCCCATAGCATGCACTACGTGAAGAATGAGCTTACCTTGCTTACTTCTGGTTGAACTTTCACAACTGTTGTGTCCGAAATAATGAGTAAATGTAAGAAGAATGAGCTTACCTTGCTTACTTCTGGTTGACTTTTCATAACTGTTGTATCCGAAATAATGAGTAAATGTAAGAAAAATGAGCTTACCTTGCTTACTTCTGGTTGAACTTTCACAACTGTTGTGTCCGAAATAATGAGTAAATGTAAGAAGAATGAGCTTACCTTGCTCGCTCCTGGTCAAACCTTCCCGACTGTTGTATATGGAACATAAGATCACCACCACTCAGATACTCCATTACAAAGAAGAGATGACTCTGTAAAAAATATCCGTTTTCCATAATTTTTCAACAATCTTTTAAATCAAGATATTCCTTTGGTTACTTAAACACCAAGTTACCAATGTTATGAAAATCATACTTTATACAAACTACCTTTACTCATTATTTCGGACACAACAGTTGTGAAAGTTCAACCAGAAGTAAGCAAGGTAAGCTCATTCTTCCTACATATACTCAGTAGATCTTACTGTTGTTGCACGTTGTTGTTTTTTATTAATATAATTGCACATAAACTTTGTCGTTCTTATTGTTGTTACACGTTTATTTTATTCCTATTCTTCTTGCTGTCGTATTTTGCTTTCTTATTGTGGACATATGTTTACTGTGTATTTCATCCAACAGTCAACATTCATTAGTTTGTTTAACATACGACAGCATATCCAGAAAAAGGTAATTATTAGTCGATTTTTCGCTATACTTTGTCAAGAACTTACCATTCGAAATGACACAAGAAAGACTCGATACGTCCTACTGCCTCAGTGTGTACGTAGATAAGTTCCTATTGAAGCCGTAATACGAAATATAGAATATCAAAGTTTCCTTTTGGTAGTAAACTAACAAAGTAGGATTTGTAAGCACAATGAATTTATTGTCTAAAAGAAACTACATGTTTTGATAGTACTGTATTATAACGTGTTTCTCTACATAAGCAAAAAAGAAGTATATTTTTACTAGAGTTGTTGTAAAATAAAGATATATATGTCCCACAAAATGCTCCAGTAAACATTCCAGATGATCTTTAGGTCATTTTTATTACGTCAATTGTTGTATTTTACATTTGTTGATTTCTTTTTTCCCTTTTTTTGTGTTGTATATTTATATTATTAATCCCAAGTTATTTATTTGATATTATTTTCATATGTTTGAACTACACATAAATATTACAAAACATTCCAGACGATTTTTAGGTTATTTTTATTACGTCCATTGTTGTATTTTACATTTGTTGATTTCTTTTTTCCCTTTTTTTGTGTTGTATATTTATATTATTAATCCCAAGTTATTTATTTAATATTCTTTTCATATGTTTGAACTACATATAAATATTACAAATTTCGGCAAGCAAATAAGTGAGTGAATATTCTCTTAAACGAAAAATGTTGTTTTATTTTATGTTTTAAGAATGCTTATGTCTTATAAGAAGTGTATTTGACTTGTTAAACAGAATATATTTAAAAAAACACAACAACATAAAACAGCTGAATAAAGTTTGCTCGTTTATCACGCTCAGAAACAATGATCAATCAATCAGTCCTTCAGTGCGAATACCAAAGTAAAGTATAATTAATTATTTACATGATGAACAACATGCTAGTTTTAATTAAGACCTTGTGCTCGAGTGATAAGCTTATTGGGAAGTTTTGGTTCAATTAATTCGTTCAGTTTTCTCCGTATTTCAGGTTTTACTCATCAGAGATAGTTGTGGCTCTGAAGTTCCTGCATAAGCGACGAATAATATATAGGTAAGAAGCATCGATATATAGGTGCTAAGAAAAGCTTTCAGTTATCAGTGTTAAAAGGGTAAATACCAACTATTGTTATATAAGTGGTACTATATATTGATTTAGTTATTATACTGCCCTTACCGCTATGGCACTGGAATGCCTACTTGAACAAGTAAATATTATTTATTACCTCTCACTTATCTTTAATATCTTGTTTGTATTTTATTGCTTTCTTATTCTTATTTCTGTTTAATTAGGGTGAGTGATAGCTTTACATAAAGCCCGTAGTAGAGTGGAGTTCAGGATAGGTTTTATTTCTAGATGCAAGACGTGGTGTACATGATGAGTGTTAGTTCTAGATGTTTGACGTAGTGGACTAGCGTACAGGATGGGTGTTAGGTATAGATGTTGGACGTAGTGGACCAGAGTACAGGATGGGTGTTAGGTATAGATATTGGACGTAGTAGACTAGAGGACAGGATGATTATTAGTTCTAAGTAACGTAGTGGACCAGAGTACAGGATGGGTGTTAGTTCTAGATGTTGGATGTAGTGGACTAGAGGACAGGATGATTATTAGTTCTAAGTAACGTAGTGGACCAGAGTACAGGATGGGTGTTAGTTCTAGATGTTGGATGTAGTGGACTAGAGGACAGGATGATTATTAGTTCTAAGTAACGTAGTGGACCAGAGTACAGGATGGGTGTTAGGTATAGATATTGGACGTAGTGGACTAGAGGACAGGATGATTATTAGTTCTAAGTAACGTAGTGGACCAGAGTACAGGATGGGTGTTAGGTATAGATATTGGACGTAGTGGACTAGAGGACAGGATGATTATTAGTTCTAAGTAACGTAGTGGACCAGAGTACAGGATGGGTGTTAGTTCTAGATGTTGGAGGTAGTGGACTAGAGTGCGCGATGGGTGTTGGGTCTATGATGTCGAGGTTTTAATATGTTTTTACGGGTGGAAGACAACGTTGTGTAGATTTATCTCTACACACATACTTTCATTGGTTTTGTCATATTTCAGTTCATACAAGAACAAGTTGAACAAACTCTGAGCACTAAACTAAGCTGAAAATTACAAAAGAGTACATATAAACAACACTTATGACCAGGTCTCTTATATTTTCTCTGCTAAGTATTACACGAATCTTTTCTTTTTTATATTAATCTAGGTCTACATCTTTCTCTTTGTTAAAGAAAGCATCTTTTGTTTATGATTCGTTTCGTACTAAGTAATAATTATTATGTTCTTTATTCTTCCTTTGTGATTTTTATGTAATAGCCGAGGCTTTTGATGTTTATTTCATTGCTAACCCAAGTCTCTCATTTCTCTTTGACTGCTAGGAAGTCTTTTATAATTTCATTAGTTAAAGTAAGAATACGCATTTCATTCCCGTTATCCTAAGGAGGGTCTTCGATTTTTCTTCTCTACTAAACAAAGTCTTTCCATATTTCATCCTCCCTAACCACACTATCTTTCGTATTTTCTTCCCACTAATACGTTTCGTGTTTATTTCACTCCTAACCGACAAGTTCGATTATTTCTTTTTCTCTACTAAACAAGGTCTCTCTGATTTATTATTCTTTGTTAATCCCAGTATGTTAACCAATATCTTACATTTCGCCCTTACCAAGGTCTTTGGTGTTTTATTCTTTGTTAAACAAGTGAGATCTAACAAACGATTATTTTTGTACAAGCCACGATATCTGATTTTTCAGAGATCTGAAATTAGATAACATCCTATTGGACAAAACAGGTCACGTGAAAATCGCAGATTTCGGGATGTGTAAATATGGAACTGCAAATGAAATGAAAGCTTCGACATTTTGTGGAACACCAGAATATATCGCTCCGGAGGTGAGGTCAAACTGTCAGAAGTCTGCATGAAATTACAAATACACAAATCGTTTTCGTTTTCTTCAATATTTATCTCGCTACACTTATTACTTATGGAAATTTTTTTTTTCTAATCTATTCAATGAAATAATTTCTTATGCTTTCATTTATTTTTGCTATATTTTATAAGAAATAGAATTATAAAAATAGATTTAATTTTCTGTTAATTTAATCGTAGAAGCTCAAAGTATAGTATCGATTTAATTAACCTTCAGTTTCACCCACTTTGCAGTAAAAATGAGTTTCAACAGTACTTGGGTATGCAAAATACTATTTTTAGGGTAACACGAAATCCATCATTCACTAAATTTTACTAGATACAACTATTTTAAGCCAGTAGACGTAGGCGTTTTGTTTGAAATATATATTTTTTTAATTTCTGTCAGGTCATCAAAGGTCAGCACTATAACCAGTCAGTAGATTGGTGGTCTTTTGGTGTTCTACTGTACGAAATGCTGATTGGCCAGTCGCCTTTTAACGGCAGCGATGAAGAAGAAGTTTATTGGTCTACCTGTAATGAAGAGGCGTATTATCCTCGATTTATCAGCAAAGAAGCGAAACAGATCCTTATCAAGGTAACAAGTAAAATAAACTGTTTTTTTAAGAAATACCCATACAAGTAATAAATTATTAAATGTTTTATGAGATCTTGATTTTGAAGTTGAGTGAAACCTACTTCAGGGATATGTCAGTGATAGTTCACGTGCTAGATGTCACTTTCTCTAGGACATGTCAAGAGGGCGATTTCTCACAATGTTAGAACTAAAACCGAAAATAGTACCTGTAAAAATGTGCTGTGAATTACTGAAGCTTTTCTGTGAAACAGAACAAAATCTCTTTAAACACATTAACAAAACAAATAGAGTTGATAAATTTTCGGTAAAAACAAATGACAGATTTCACATCTGTTTTCACATTCTGTTTCAGTTTAACCCTGGGCAAATCACAACATATTAATTTCATATCCCACTCTATAACATCTGTGTTAGAATCGTATTTTTATCTCTGTGTTGATTGTATTTTAATGTTTCATATTCTCAGTTGTTGGAGAAGAACCCTGAGAACCGATTGGGTATGCCTACCTGCTCGGCGGGGGATATTTGTGATCAGGCATTCTTCAGAACTGTGAACTGGGAAAAAGTTGAGCGAAGGCAATTGGAACCTCCGTTCAAGCCTAAAGTGGTAAGTATAAATAAAAAGATTATTTTTTATGATTAAAAACGTAACTAGTTTTAAATTCAAGCCCTATTTATTGAGTAAGAAATACCCATAGTCGAAGACGGGTTATTTGTCTTAAAAAATAATTTCTGTGATTAATAGTTTTTTCAGCTCTGAACAACGTAATAATCATTAAATTTACAATAAAAAGTTGACCAATTTTTTTCATAAAGGTGTTTGAAGTTAATATTAACATTGTCAAGTTTATAGACTTTGTGTTAGACAGTTGATTTTTTTTTTTTTTTAGATAAGCTAATATTTAGAAGGTTTAGGTACTGTATTTATATCTAGAAGTATGACAGTGACTCCAGTCAGGTTAGAAGATTGGGATAACACTTCCGTGACTCTATATACAGGATTGAACGTTTGGATAAATCTGGGGTATTGCCATAGCTGTTTCAAATGCTGTATTAACACTACTCTTACGCTGTATGACAAAGCTATACAGCCTTAAATCACATTAAAAAGAACATATTTATATCTGTTTTATATTGTGGAAAACAAGGCGTAAGAAAGTAGTAAAATTTTTTTCTTTTAATTTTTTTTTATTTTTGAAGAAGTAACACATCGTAAACAAAAGAGAACCGGTACGACAAAAACTCCACTGTTGGATATCAATCTGAGGATTGCTGACAACTGTATCACATATATTAATATGCGTTTCATAGTTTTAATGCTGAATTGTTCTCCATAGCCACAAGGTTAAACCTGATAACTTAAAGACCTAGCAACTCTGAAAATAAGGGAATATCTTTGTATTGATAGCCTCCCTTGACAGTTGTGGTTCGAATCTCTATTCGGGTAGATCTTACTTATAATTATTTTAAGATAATATACCATATTAAAATGTATTATATCTGTTATAGATTAAGTGATTATGTGGATCAAAGTCTGACTTTAGCTTGTTTTACTTGTATTTAGACATTTCAAAATTATGTAACATATGACATACATTAATAGAAATAAAAACAACCAAAAAGTGGTATATATATATGGGGGGGGGGGGTATGTGAAAATAGTAATAGATATCTATTCTTTTCAAGTTTTCTGCTGTTGACAATGCCAAGTTATAATAAAGGGGTCAGCCATGTAAAGATATGTTATAAAAGAAGGTACCAAATTGTATAGAGGTTCAAACCCTGTAAAGATGTAAAAGTGGTAAGTTAACAAGAAAAGACTAGGGTAAAACTTGACCCCCCCCGTTTTAGTTCCGTT